TGCTATTTATAAAATTAAAGGTGTACATAGAATATTATACAATTTTTAGTGACATACCTTATTCCAACATTTCCACAAAAGATGAATATTTTTACTAAATATTTATTTTTCACAAAATACATTAATATTGATTTGGTATAGTATACGGAGTACTCCTTTATACTTCCTCCGTTCCCTTTTAATTGCAACAATCAACATTTCACGTTTGTCAACGCACAAGTTTGACCATTAATATCTTTCATTTCTTATTAGTAAAAAATTCAAAAATTCATATTTTGAAAATTTAGAATGAGAAGAATTTAATAATATTTTTAAAAAAATTAATTTATAATATATTAATGAATAAAATATAGTCAAAATAGAATATGTAAATAGTGCAAAACGTCCAATGTTACGATTAAAAGAGAACGGAGGATAGTATACGGGCTATTTATTTGTTTGTTTTCTCAACATATATTTCTCTCCATTTAAATACGGAACATGTAAACATTCAATGGAGTACGGAGTATCTAAATAAAATTGTAGTACTTTCGGTCCGGCCCATACACATTCAGGTCCAGACCCCCCGATGAAGTCACTCTGCCCCTTCCGTGTTCTCACTACCTTGGAAAACTCCAGAACTCTTTCCCCTTCGATCTACCAGACTACCACTCAATGTTCTCTCACCCGGTTCAGCTACAAAGGTCGGAAAGCATACTTCTTCGCCCTCTCCATCCGTAAGAAACAGTAGAAAAAGCATGCTACTGGTCTCATGTACACCGATTTGATTACTCTGTCTATTTTGGTTTTTATTTTCGATTTCTTTGTTGTTACTTCTCTGATATCTCAATTTGCTTTCATCTTTTTTAAGCAGTTTATACATCAAGCTTCAATGTTGGAAAATAATGTTGACTACACGACATACCTGGTTGTAGGTAAGGGAATAATTCTGAAACTAATCCGAGCCCAAATTTACTCTAAGATACTACATATATGTATATATCTTGAAATAATTACATGAATATGACCAAAATAAAGACGGTTTACAAAAATATGATTAGTTACTAGAGTAGTAATGAAATCATAGTAATTAATGTTCAAGTTTTGAACTTAAGTTACTACAACACCACCTTATAGTAATGAATAGTTATATTTATGTAAATAAGTTTTATTTTAGTAATATTCTTGTAAAAAACCCATATATCTTAGAAGCTAGATGTATATCAAACGAAATAATATATATTTCCTCCTTAAAAGCTAGAAGTATTACCAAAAATCAGCCGAATCAATTTTTTCTTGTGAGATTCTGAGTTCCAAGTCATCTATGTTTCAGTTGAGTTCGAATAGTTTGCTATCAAATTCAGTTCTCATATACCTTTCTAAAGTTTTTACCAAATTCATTAAGAGACTTTGTAATTTGTTCTTGTGCCAGTGATAGCATAAATCGGTACTCTATCTACTACTTCATAGATCTGGGTAGGCATGTTTTCATTAAAGTCAAGTTAGAACTTATTTTGTACTTTCCACAATTTGATGATCCCGAGTAGATGTTGCATTGAGATCAGAGGACGTAATACATTATTTATTTAAGTGCATGACACTGGTTACTATGTAGTGGCGTAAAACTTGTTTTCCTTTATTTGGTGTTGTTATTGAAGACTAAATTCTCATGGAGGATACTTACTACTAGTATTATGCATTGTCAATCTAGCTACCAACATAATTTTGATTTTGAATGAGCTTTTTTTCAATTTATATTATATTGATGTGTTTTGTTATTATTATATAGGTCTATTTCATAAAAAATAAACGTTAATTAAATCAAAAGAATAGTCGTACCAGCCCATAATGATCAATAGATACACATAGACAAAACTTTTACCCACACTTACGTGTCATTTTACGTACACCTATATACATATTTATTCACGTTTAATTGAATCATTTAGCTACACATTTATCATCTTTAGCTACACATAAAATATGTCCACGTGGCTCTATTTTTCCGGAAAAAATAACCTCATTTTCCACGTGTGCCACGTAATCACTAAATTGCCACGTCATGTGCCACGTCATGTGCCACGTCATGTGCCACATCAGACGCCATGTCATCAAGACGGTGTGTACATGACAAACAGCAACACACGGTATAGTGTTTTACCTACACATACATGTGCAGGTAAAAATAAAGAGTATTACCCACACATACATCTATGTGTGGGTAAAAACATTTAACTACAGTTGAATACCCACACATGTCTACACTTAATTTATGTGTAAGAAAAAATGATTGCCTACACATACCTACACTTTTACTTACATATACATGTATGGGTAAAACTCCAATTTTCTTGTAGTGTGTGTTCTTCTATTTTGTTCATTAAATCAAATAAGAAAACATGATTATTTGTTTATTTCGAAGTGCTTTACATAGTTACTGTGCGAGAATTGTTTTTTTATCGTTACTGTGTGAGAATTGTTAAAAAGTTCTTTCTTATGTTAGTAAAACCACTGAAGCGTGAAAAAGAAAATTATATTTAATATAAACACTCAAATGTTGTTTCTTTTGTTCTGTGAGCTGATCAGATTTTATTTAAAGTATCTAAGTATTGTTTGGTAAAAAGTTTGTGTGTGTGTGTGGTTCAATAGTTCTTTGCATAATTAACATAAGCTAAAATTTCATTGTTCATAAATATGAGACTATTTGCACAGAGAATTTGTTTATACCCTTCTACAATTTGGCTCATTAATTTTGTTATATAACTTGTGGTTCAATGCAGGATATGTAAGCACACTTAAGCTTGGGTCACAAAAGCAATGAAATATGGTAACTGACTTCTTCATTTAATCTGGATTTTCAAGTACAAAAGTTTTTTTAAATGGTTATATTTTTTTGCAAGGAAAAAATGGTTATCTTTTGTTATAGATTTTATGGATAAAGCTATAATTGTTCTATTTAAAAACCTTATATAAACATCCAAGTATATATTATGGAGTATATATTAAAAGGTATTCAAAGTAAAGATATTCAAATTAGTATGAAGCTGGTGGATAAGCTAGCTAAATGAGGATTTCAACGTTTTTTTATTTTTATTTTTTTTATTTCGGAGTGTTTTTTCTACAAACTGCTCTGAATGCTTTTCTTGCATAGCTTAGTTGTCAAAAATCCTCATACAAAAAACATAACTTAATTTGCATCGTAGTTTGGTATCTCATGTAGAGGTGTTTAAATAAATTTAATCTACGTTTACTGCTTAAGTGTTACATACTGACTGATTTCATAGTTGTTAGAAATCAGTGTTTGATTGTAAATGTGAAAAATTAAAGTTGCTACAAAAATGTGGAATAGTGAAATCACACACTAATTTGACTGATTTCAAAGTTGTTAGAAATCAATGTTTGATTGTAGATGTGAAAAGGTACCTCTGAAAGACACATTCCAACGTGCTGGGAACTTTTTTGGTTTTGTTGTTACGTTGAATGCATATGATTAGAACAACCTCAAACTCACTCGGTTAAACATATTTGCCCTTAGTTTGTTCTTCAAACTGCAAAAATAAAAGAGAAACATGTGAGATTTCTACTGATACAGCCTAATAATAAAAGAACTAATAACATTGCCCGGAACAAACCTGCCATCAATGTTATTTTTTGAAGGTGATCGAACATGCAATTTATGGAGAGATATGGAATTGAATACGTGCAAGTGTGCAACTACTGAGGAAGGTCTCAGCAAATTATGTGCTAGTATTCTAGTAACCACTCCACCCACTTTTTTGAAATCAACTTCCGCATCTGTTTTTGGCAAATCGTTTTTTTTTTTTTTAATTAAATTCAAGAAACAAATACTACATAATAAATTTTATCGAACTATTTGCTCGTGTGTGTGTATTTTTCAACTGTTTTATACTCTGTATAATATATATCATTCAGTGCTAATAATATAAAATATACTGTATTGGCTCTACATATTACACTCGTATCATTTACTCCGTATTAAATTGCTAATAGTAATGTTGGAGTATAAAAAATTGGTAGATCTATTAAATTTCAATTAATTGTTTCACTATTAGCAATTGTTGAGAAAATTCATGTCCAAATATGTCAGGTTGCTGATAATTATACAGCAGGAGCTTGCAGGGATGTGCTGCGTGCTGCGGTGCTGAGCCTTAATTTTAAAGGAAGCGTGTCTACAGAATTTCTGGATATATTAAGAATTTAATACATACGTAGTATTATTAATAGTGTCTGAATAAGTTTATCTTTTGTATGCCACGTGTATTCAGAATATCTCTTGTGGATACCATTTATTGTTTTGGGCGGGAACAGTTATGTGGGAGGCGGTCTCCTTTATATATTTAATTAATATATACGGAGTATATTATAAATTTAAATATAAAATATTTAAAATTTCGTGATGTAACTGCTCCACAATTGGATACGAAATAGAAATGAGGCTTGCCACGTGTTTACTTCTGAGAAAACCAAGGAATGTGGAACGTGATTTTTCTATAATATTTTTTAATGCACAATCTTGTGACACGTGTAATACATCAAAGGCCAGATTTGTTCAGGTTGTATTCACGATTGTGCTTTTATATATATATATAGATGTTCATTTACGAACTCATTTGTGACTAGATTACGAAATCAAGTTCTTTAAATATCATAATCACTCAGCAGCCTTCTAAGATTACTCTTTACTTCTAATGATGAAAATGTAAAATTTTACTCCCTCCGTCCCATTTATTTTGTCCCATTTTACCTTTTCGAGAAGTCCCACTTATATTGTCTCATACCATATTTGGCAAAGCTTGTGTGGCTCTAAATCATTCTTACTTTATTCTTACTTTATCAATTAATATCAACCACACAAACCCACTTTTCTTAATAACCGTGTCACCCTCTTCCGGGACAATATAAATGGGACGGAGGGAGTATCGTATAAGACTAGACATTTTTATCCGAAAGTTTGAGTAACGGAAAAAAATATTACATAAAGCACATTCAACACACAAAACATCCTCACTTTGAAGAGTAAACCAATACCCGCAAGACTTATGTTGATATTAAAGGGCCCTGTTATTACAAAAACGGTCTCAAAACAAGTTACAAGTTACAACATTGATACAATATTATACAAACGAAAAACAATTTCAAGAATGCTTATTCAATTAGAAACCCACAAAAGCCAACTAGCTACTTACACATCATCATACCAATCTCGAAGTGTGGATAAAAACCAATGCTAATATCCCAGATCTTAAAATAGTGTAAAATGGAATCCCACACTTCCCTTTCGCAAACAAGCCCTTGACGTATGACCAATACATCAATATTACCCATAAGCTGCAAATCACTTCCCCGAAACTCCATCTCTTATTATCTTGTTTATCAAAATCCAGTAGTCCAATGAAGAGAGCTGCAATATTGACAAGTAAAATGGTTGTACCAGGAATAAATATCGGAGAGTCATCAAAAGTGAACCCTCCCACATCGGATTCCACCTGTAGAGTATTATCACTTGTATGTTCTTTCTTGGTGATTTCGAACACCGTATTGGAGATTCCAATTACCTTAAATACCGCGCTTAGAAACCCAAATAACCATGGACCAGAAGCATTTAACTTTGACATTCTTCGATTGTTCCACCACGCCCGTATGGATTCCCCACCCATAATGTATTCTGATAAAGTGTACAAATTGTAGCTAATGAAAATTGAAGCTGGCATTACAATGGCAGCTTCGTTTACCTTCGGTTGGAAACTAGAATTGCTTATGATGCAAAACGCAGGGAGAAGAGAATTGCATATTTCAAAAAAAGTCTCAACGGGCCACAGCATCACCCATAGATATGCCAAGCACTGTCTGAATTGGAGCTTTCCAAAGAAGAATTTAAGAATTGGGCTATTGTTTCCGATTAGCACTTCAGTTAGCCCAGTGGACCATCGTTTTTGTTGGGTTGATGCCGCCGGTCCTCCTGTCGGTGCACACCCCAGAAAAGCAGGCGGGTCAGGGTCACAATAAGCGGATTTCCACCCCATATTGTGGATGGTTAACCCTGTAAGGACATCTTCTGTGGTAGATCCATAAATCCATCCAACCTGAAATGTCATAACAATTGAAAGTACATGAGGTACACTTATCATTTCTGTATTTATCATGTTTGAGTTATTCAAGTACTAAGAGTGAGACTTTTATTACTTGACATTGAATTTTTAAAGTCTAAATTTCATTTTAATCCTTGAATTATGTATTACTTTCATAATAGTTATGATGGGTAAAGAGTTGGTAAACCATATGGTGATTTCAAACAATGTATGAAAAAATAACTATCGAAAGACCAAAATATGGAATGTAGAACTAGAATGTGTCATTACAAGTAAAAATGGAAAAAGCTCATTTTCAAAAGGACTTCCAATTCTACAAAAAAAGGGAAAATAATTTTAAATCATACAAACTATCTTCCGTGAACCAAGAATAATATGTACTTTGAAAATAAGTTTGAATAATACCAACTATTTTAATAAAGACCAAAAGTGATATAGAGCATTTTTTACTAAAAATTCAACCATTTAACTCATCAAAAATTTGTACCAAAATATCTAATAAGTGAATATGTTTCCAAATATCATTTATTTGATGGGTTGTCATTAGCTTTTGATGTCTTAATGATCAATTTTTTTTCAAAGAATGACTCCATATTATTTTTGTTTTACATTCAAATAGTTGGTATTATTAAAAATTATTTTCAAAGTTTGTATTATTATTGGTTCATGGATGATAGTTGGTACTCCCTCCGTCCCTAATTTACCTTCCAAATAGGTTTAACACACAATTTAAGATAGTGGGTATTGTGTGGTGGAAAGTTATGCAGAGGAGAGAGAAATGTGTAAGAATTGTTGTGAACCACAAATTCTTTGTCAAAAAGGGAAAGTGGAAGTTTTAATTGAGACAGACGAAAAAGGAAAGTTGGAAGTTTATTTAGGGACGGAGGGAGTATTATTTAAAGTTATTTTTCCAAAAAAAAAAACATATCCTTATCTTATGTTACAACTTTCTTTGCATATACTTACATTTTGACCCCAAGCCGTGCCAAATTCATAGGCACAATTGGCAACTTCATGAGCAGCCTCTAGAGAATTGGCAAGTATTGTCATCTCTGGATATAAGGATCCTGAAATTTTTTGAATGGCTGATAAGGTTATTTCCTTTGATTTCCTTCCATTTCCCATGTTCATATGAGTAACATAAAGATTACAGAAAGAACTTTCAAAAATAAAATAATAAACCAAACCTTTCATTAGTAAATAGTAATGCTTTACGAGTGTAGGCATTATGACATACATTATCTTTTTGCAACAAAACATTTAGCTATTATATTTATATATATAATCAAAATCTAAGGAATCGAGAATACAACCACAAGGAATGAATTCGTACTTGACAATGGGACAAAAAAATGATCATTCAAACATGCTATTGAGCAGCACGATTCGCACACCACATAAGAATAGCAATAATTGTGCTAGTAAAATCGCGCAACAAAATATTAATATCTTCCACCAAAAAAACAAAAAATGAGAATAACCACCATCTGATTGAATGGCCGAGGTAAAATATAACAATCCGACTCAATATCAATTTTATCTCGATGCCACTCTACAGCAAGCTTTGAGCCTCTCGGAGCCCTAGCGCTCCAGCCACCTTCGACGTACCCCCCATTGTAAGGCACCGACAGCCACATACATTGTTGAAGCGTTTGGGGCCCTCCGACCAAAACCTAGACAACTACTCTCTCCCACCACAACATCAATATTCGTTTCAAGTCTTTCATGTTATGATTTTTACCACCTCGCTACCTCTTTCCCAAATTTCCCCTACTCACCAACTCCCCCACTCTAGCATGACATCCAAAAAAAAATCTGAAAATTGTTTGTATTATTAGTGTGAAAATTTATCTAAAAAATCTTTGTACTGACCAACCCCAACCTTCACTCATGGCTACACACCCCTAATGACGCCTTACCCACCATAACTTTTTGTTCCACACTTTCCTACTACATACTGTTAAGATTTGGGGTTTAATCCTAAAAGCACAATTTGATAGGAGGAGTATCTAAGAGTCTTGTAAAGTGTTTTATTGTTTTATTATGTTCCGGTGTAGAACAAATACTTTAACATGCCCCCTCGTCCCAGTCCGGCATTAACAATATCGGAGTGTGTAAATGGGCGAAACATATTGATGGAGTATATGGCCCAGGAACCCTCGGCCCATAGACTCCTACTTCTCCTATACAGCGGCCCAAGTGCCAAGAAGCCCACAATACGCACAGGGGTGCCTTCGGCCTCCTTGGCCGAAGGCTCCAAATCTCACAGGGCTGCCAGTTTCGAGCATACAAAGCTACTGGGAGAAAACGGCGTGAAACAGTAGCCCTCGGCTACCAGGAGCCTTTGGCACTATCGTGCCCTCAGCATAAGGGAAGCCTTCGGCTTATCCAATCCTTCGGGTACACAGACCCCTCGACTGCATGGAGAGCCTTCGGCTAACAGCTCAATCATCGAAGATTCCCTTTTGAGACAAGCAACCACTGCATTCAATGCGGCATCACGTCCAACCACCGCATTTAATGCGGTGCACATGCCTTTGCCGTTGCCACCCCGATTGAGGTGACCCTCGGCCGTCAGATTGTTGACACGTGTACCCTCATCGCATTTAATAAAATCGATGTTATTCCCGCAATAACCCCTCGGATAAGCTACCCCCCAGGTACACTGTCCATCATTTGGTGCTCTCGTTGAGAGGTCCGAACAATCAAGTGAGAAACCCTCCGCTCCACCAGACAAAAAACACCTACCGAAATGGGAAGAACTCATGGTCAGTCCAAAACCCTCGAGGAGAACCACGTAGCCCCCAGCGAAACTAACGGGGCCGAAGCCTCCAACAGGCTCTTGGTACCCGAAGGCGGTACCATCCTCGAATTAGAGCAGGCCACTACTGACCCCCGTCAGCAGCTGCAGAGGGCTGCCCCAGATGCCCGCATCGGCCTTGATATCCGAAGGAAGAACCGAAGTGAGAACCAAGTTCCCCCTTCGGCTCTGGCCATCGAGCTTCAGGCCGCCTTCGCGGCCTTCGTCCAAAACATGGCGATAAACTCTGGTGCCTTCATCTCACAGGAACCACTCCAACCCTATTTTGGAGGAAACGTCGCTTGTCTGCCGCCCCCTCCTCTGTTCAACAATCCCGTAATACAGATTGGCAACGCCGAGGGGGTCGTGGCACAAGACACCACCTCCCAAGAGGTTCAATCCAAAGATAAACATCACAAGGAGAAGCCCCGAACCTCTGCCCTCGAGAGATTGGGCCAAACTCATGAACGCCAAGGGGTCCAAGACCGCCTCGGCGGGAAGGCAATCAGCAGGCCTCAGGAGAGCGGAGGCTCCGTCTCAGGGGCCGAGGAGAGAACTCCCCCTCAGGACAAAGGCAAAGGCCTTCTCCATGCCGACGACGCTAGGCATCAAATCAATCACGCCCAATCCTTCAGGGCGAAATCCCAAGGGGCTACCCCGAGGGATTACAAAGACGAAATCATCGAGGCCCTCCGACGCTAGCTGGAGGAGAAGGAGGCACGCCAAACGCCTCCCGCCTCGACTTTGGAGGCAGATCCGAAATACGCTGCCATACTCAAGGAAATGGAGGAGTTGAAGCGCAAGTTCGCCGAAGGCTCAGGTGAACCCCTCATCCAACTCCGCACAAGAACCCCCTTCACCCCAAGGGTGTTGGCGGCTCAGATCCCCGGCAAATATCGAGGGCAACCCATCAAACCATACGAGGGGAAGACGGATCCCCAAGAACACTATAGCAGGTACCAAAATAGTATGATGATGATGGGGGCATCGGATGATGAATACTTGTGTCATTGGTTCCTTTCCACCTTGGAGGGGCCGACGTATGAGTGGTTCAACCGGTTTCCCGGAGGCAGCATAGATTCATGGCAGGGAGCTAATTTCACATACCTTAAGTACTCCAGGACGAAGGGATGAAGGGGGAACCTAAGGCCCAACTCCACCGAGAGCATGTGTACTAAGAAACATCCCTCCGGGGGATGGGATAGCAGATCTTCGGGGCCCGGCTCCACAACATGTGCTGAAGGCCCCACAAGGACCTGGAGAGCATGATACTCGGCACCCGAGGCCGTAGTTTTCACCTCGAGTGCAGTGGTGTCCAAATAGGAGTGCCCCTCGGGAATCCCAACCGGCTGCCCGGCATCAACGGCTGCTTGCCTCTTCTTCGGGGCAGCCCTCAGCTTCTTCTTCTTTTTCCCCTCGGCTACCCGGAGGGGTTGGACGTCCAACGGCCGGGACGTGCTCGCCTCACCAGCACCTCGAGGGGGCATAACGGCGACCGTCACTCGACGGTGCTCTTTCTCCTCCTCTTCTTCAGCCACTTGGATAGCGATAGCCATCTCTTCATCTTCGGGTACTTGCTCGAAGTCCTCTGCTTCCATCTCCACCCGAAGGTTGTTCTGTACCTCCTCAGCTACGGCGAGATCGTTTTTCGTCGAGAGCTGCTCACTTGAAGACTCTGCATCGGAGATGCTCTCTGACGCTACCGAGGGCTCCCTTGAAATGTCTTGAGAGTCCCTCGCTTTCCGCCGACATGTCCTTCTGATTATTAAAGGTCGGAGGGTTGAAAAGAGAAGGGATCTCTAGAACCCTAAGGGTACTATAACACTCGATCTAAGGGTGGAAGAGAAAAACTTACTAAAAAGCTCAAGAACAGGAGGAGAACTGACCTCAGAAAGCTTGGTTTGATCGAAAAGGAGTTTCTCTCTCTAGAAAACACTTTGGCAGAGCTTCGCTTCAATGAAATCGCACAAGGCAAATGGGTTCTGCCTTGGGGTATTTATAGGCTTCCCAACTATGGTTAGCCTCGAAGCATGGGCCTCCGGTTAAAAGCCCATCATTACATGCCGCCTCTTCACCCAATGGGTGGCACCCGCCCGCCTTCAGCCAACGAAAGCATGTCACGTGGACCCCACTCCCAACGGTAATATCCCAACGGCTATATTTCAGAAACACTGAAGTGTCCTCAGATGGTTGCCTCCGGCTATCACACCCAGCAGCCTTCGGTGAACAACTTTCACCAAGTGCTTTCGAGCAAGCAGCAGTATAAGCCTTCGGCTTATCAATGTTGCCACTCATCAGAGTATACTTGGATGATAGCCTTCGACTATCATCCACAGCCGCCTCCGGTGGACATATGTCACCTAGTACCTTCGAGCAAGCAGCAGCATAAGCCTTCGATTTATCAATGTTTCCACTCCTCAGTCCCTAACACCCCTCGGGGACATACACAAACATCATAACTCCTTCAGCCCGAACTTGCCTTTGGCCTAAAGGAGTGGGGGAACGGGGTACATCCCTCGGGAATCACACAGAACTTAAAACAAAACATCTACAAATAACGCATGTAGCCTTCGGTTACATACGTCATTACACCCTCCGGCAAAAGCAGAATGTCACAAAATTTCCACAGGTCACTAATAATGATGGAGCAGCCTTCATCACAACACATACAACTATTATCTACACTTCCCTCAGAAAATCCTCGACATGTGGGGGACTGAGGGGAAGCCCTCGGCGAATACCAGTAAAGCTCTCCGGTAAAGCGTAAGCCTTCGGTAGAGCCAACGCATCAACGCAATTACTCTTTTTCCCTCAAGTACCTTTCGGTAAAAGGAGTGGGGGACTCCTGATGGAGTATATGGCCCAGGAACCCCCGGCCCATAGACTCAGCTCCTACTTCTCCTATACAGCGGCCCAAGTGCCAAGAAGCCCACAATACGCACAGGGGTGCCTTCGGCCTCCTTGGCTGAAGGCTCCAAATCTCACAGGGCTGCCAATTTTGAGCATACGAAGCTACTGGGAGAAAACAACGTGAAACAGTAGCCCTCGGCTACAAGGAGCCTTCGGCACTATCGTGCCCTCGGCATAAGGGAAGCATTCGGCTTATCCAAGCCTTCGGGTACACAGACCCCTCGCTGCATGGAGAGCCTTCGGCTAACAGCTCAATCATTGAAGATTCCCTTTTGAGACAAGCAACCACCGCATTCAATGCGGAGTCACGTCCAACCACCGCATTTAATGCGGTGCACATGCCTTTGCCGTTGCCACCCCGATTGAGGTGACCCTCGGTCGTCAGATTGTTGACACGTGTACCCTCATCGCATTTATGGCTGTTATAAATAGCAACCCTTATTCTCCTTGTAAGACACGCTGAGTTCATTTAATAAAATCGACTCTCTCTCCTCTTACTTGCTCTGACTTCTCTCTAGTTATTCCCGCAATAACCCCTCGGATAAGCTACCTCCCGGGTACATTGTCCATCACGTATCATTAACAAGCTACCCTTAATCATGGGTGCTAAACAAACAGTCAAACTACAATTGAACTTGGCTTTGATACCATGTCAGACTTGGGGTTCAATTCCGTCCTAAAAAGGTTAACATGATAGGAGGATGAGTTCAAAGTTTTATAAATTTTTTGTAGCATTCAATTGTGAGATAAATACTTTAACACCTACCAGTTAGGTGCTTCAACAAAACATGATCAATTTGCAACTTCACTCCTTAGTTTTGGATGAAAACAAAAGTTTAACCCACTCCAATAACTCGAGGTTCTGTCTGTTCTCACCGGCTCACCCTTTCTTTTCATATACCCACGGCCAATGGAAATGATATACATCATCTTAGATTCTGAGTATCAAGTTCACATTAAAAAAAAATTGTCTACAGGGGACAATTTGTCTACAAACGTATAATGTTACATGTATGAGAATAATGCTATCTTTGTCCCATATGACATTATTATGTTTGAATTAGGTGTAAATAAGCAAAATAATGATTGTGAGGTCGATGTTCGTTCAAAGGAAAATAATAAAGTAATATCACAAATTATATACTCCCTCCGTCCCATTTATATTTTCCCGTTTTACCTTTTCGGGAAGTCCCACTTAAATTGTCTCATACCATATTTGGCAAAGTTTGTGTGACTCTAAATCATTCTTACTTTATTCTTAATTTATCAATTAATATCAACCACACAAACTCACTTTTCTTAATAACCGTGTCACCCTCTTCCGTCCCAATATAAATGGGACGGAAGTAGTACTACGTAGTACTTTAAATAGGAAACCGGAAAGTTTTACAGACAAATAGAAATGGAAAGTTATCATGAATGGGTTAGATTTTTTTTCTCGCTTAAATCTTACACACGACTTGGCCGATAAAATAAAAAGTTTAGTACGAACTACGAAGTATTAATTTGCAGAGAAACAACTGTGTATCAAACGGAACGGATAAAAATCATGAAGAAAGAAACGGATAAAAATCATGAAGAAAGAAAGTACATTAAGGGTTTGTTTGCAACTGCTTTTAAAAAAGCACTTCTCAGCTTTTGACTTTAAAAAAGCACTTATTTTCCCAAACACTACAACTTTTAATTTTCTCGGCTTCCGTGTCAAAAGTGCTTTTACTTTTTCTATTACACAAAAAAAACTTATTTTACCAAACACTACCCACTTTTACTTTTCAAAATCACTTTTTTCTAAAACACTATCAACTTTTATTTAATCACTTCTCCCCATTTCATTAAAAAAAGCATTTTTTCAAAAGCAGAAGTTGTTGCAAACAGACCCTAATTTAGACATACAATTAACGCACATAGTAGTAGGGAAGAAGTTGTATACGTAGTTACGTACCACTACTGGTCCTACAATTTGGTGGCGAGCCGTACATCACTTTTCTTCTGTGAAAGCATCCGGTTCCCATATACAGTGATCCTTGTATCGCGGCAATTCCTCGCATCATAGTCTGCATATTAAATGATATTTTCAACTTCTCAATTTATGAGTATTTGTCAATTAATAATGACATAACATTTTTATACGTAGTATTATAAGTTGAACAAATTAGGTGGTGTTTTCCGGCAGTGTCAAATTCGGCACGGTGTCCGGCGTTTTTTCTCATCTCTTGTAGTATGAGTATTATCAGTTGGAATTGTAGGGGTTTGGGGAATGGGGCGACTGTACAGGGAGTGATTGATCTTGTTCAGGGTTATCGTCCGTCGATCATGTTTTTAATGGAGACTAAAATCGATAGCAGGCGTTCGTGCGATGAGCTCCGGCGACAAGGCTTTCAGCATGCAGAAGGTGTGGATAGCAGTGGAAGTAGCGGAGGTCTGGCCCTGGGCTGGAATGATGATTTCGAAGTGTCGATCACAGTCTTGCATCAAAATTATGTGGACTGCAAAGTCAAGAAAGAGGGGAATGATCAAGAATGGAGGCTGACAGGCTACTATGCGTTTCCGGATTTGTCGCGAAGAAGAGCTGCGTGGGAGATGCTGCAGGGATTAGCAGAAGACAACACTTTATCATGGATGATTATAGGGGACTTTAATGATATCCTATATGAATCTGAAAAGAAGGGTCCAATTCCACAACAAGCTTGGAGATTGCGTGGTTTCCGAGATGCTGTGTTTAGTAGTGGATTAAGGGATTTTCCATTTGAGGGATATCAATGGACGTGGGATAGAGGCAAAGGAACGCGGTATTGGCTAGAGGTGAAACTGGACCGAATTTTGGTCAATGATGACTGGTGGAATAAGTTCTCGGCGGCTCAAGCTCGTTCTGTGGAAGCGCCTACTAGTGATCATATGGCTTTATGGGTTAAATTAAACCCGACAGTTTATAGCAGAAAACAAAAAAGATTCAAATTTGAAAATATGTGGCTACGAGAGGATGAATGCCGGACAGTGATAGCAAGTAGTTGGAATGCAGGCTCTCACTTATCGGTTAATGAAAGAATTCTTTTTTGCGGGGAAGAGCTCATGAGGTGGGATAGTCGAAGACCGAAAGGATTTCGAAATCAAATTATTACATGTAAGAACCGGTTAGCTCGGTTAAGAGGTAAGGATGATGAGGCAAGCACGGCGGAATTTATCAGGGTTCGCGCGGTTATTCAGTCGCTGATGGAGAAGGAAAATTTATACGGAGGGGGATATAAATTCAAAATTTTTCCATAATGCGGTGAAGCAGAGAAGGAGAAGAAATAAAATACAGGGACTTCGAGATATAGACGGCTCATGGGTTACGGACAGGGGCAGGTTGGAGAATATGGTTCGGAATTATTTTGAAACTATATTCCTTGGAATGGATGAAGAGCAGGATTGGACGGACATGGGTACTTTTAAGCAGGTGTCAGTTGAGCAGAATCAAAAGTTGACCAGGGCTATTTGTTCGGAAGAGGTGAAGGCAGCTATCTTTGATATGCACCCGGAAAAGGCGCCAGGAGCTGATGGGATGAACCCAGCTTTTTTTCAAAAATTTTGGGATATAGTGGGGCCAGATGTCACTCGCTTGTGTTCAGGTATTTTTGATACAGGAACAATTCCGAATGATTTAAATGTGACAAATATTATTTTGATCCCTAAGAAAGAGAAGCCTGAAAATATGGGGGATTGGAGGCCTATTGCTTTATGTAATGTGGTGTTTAAGATTTTTTCAAAAGTGCTGGCTAATCGCTTGAAAGGAGTTTTAGGGGTGTTGAGGTTTGTTCCTTCAACCTTCAGGCCCAACACGTAAGCTCAAAGATTTCGAGTGGAGTGAGTGTATGGATATCTAGCCCAACAACTATGAGATGGATCAGGAAACAGAGGAGATAGCAGGCAATGTAAATAGGTATTATTAACTTCGTAATAACTCCCCTAAGTACAATCTACTTGCTAAAAAGGCACGTCGGCCGTTCGTCTTACGAGGCAGTTAGAACTGCTACCGGTAAGAATGCTATAGCTAGAATGCTAAGAATAGAAAGTTGCCAACCCTTTACAATGAAATAAATGCTTCTATTTATACCCACCAATGGGCAGGTGGCTGCGCTGACGTGGCAGCCTGTGGACCGCTGGTGCCCCAACTACCAAATCTTCAGCATTAAATGCACTTCCCGCCAGAATCTAGGTTTCCCGCCTAATCAGTGGGGACGTCCGTCCGCCCGGGAAGTGAGTCGGATCGCTCCAAGTGACCTTCAAGAGATACCGGCTGTTCGTCTCCTGGCCTTGATAGATACTCACCATGTGGACTGGGTTTCCACCGGTTACTATAGGCTTGTCATGGGGACGTTCGTCGTCATCCCTGGTGGCCCGCGGCCCTGCTTCTTATCCTACATTGACGTTCGTCGGGAGGACCCGCTGGGCCTGAACCCCCAACCCCAGACGTTCGTCCATCCTCACGGAACATGGGCCTGTGGGGCGGCCTAGTGTTCTAACTGGACGTCCGTCTGGCAAAATGGGTTAGTGGGCCGGACCTCGGCTTGGGCCCTTAACCCAACACAAGTCCCCCACTTCTGATGTTCTGGCTTGCGCAGGACATAAGGAAGTATGAACTCCCTCGAGGTAGACGTTCGTGCCGTTGGAAGCGTATGCTCGTGGTCATGGTGCTTGACAGCTGTCGACGGTTCAGGAAACGAGGTGACGGCTGATGTTGCGGCGGTGCATTTTCCCGAGGAAGTGTCATCATTACGCTTCCATCCCACGCACGGCGCGTGGGCCGGACCACGCTCTTTGCTACGTGTCAACCCCTCGTTGGCCTCTTATACGGTGCTTCCCCTATAAATGCCGGGTTTTCCCCCTGAACTAGGGTTCCCAATTCCTGCTCCCTTGCTCTAGAATCTCCGCTGTTCTTCGAGTTCTCTGCGTGGTTTCCGAGTTCGGCTAAACCCCTTGTAAGGTAATTTCCCCCCTCTGCTTCTTTCCTTTGTTCTGTTTCCTAGCCGAAATGACTTCGATGGAAATCTCATCAAGTTCCGATTCCGGTTCGTCGGGTTCCTCTTCGGGCTCCTCTTCTGACGATGTAAATGCACGTTCCCCGGGAAAGGCCAGTGTTTCTGGGACCTCTGGTTCAGCTACGACGGTGGGGACCATCCGGGCTGATAGTGAGCCGGATGACGCTTCTCAAGGTAGTGGGAGTGATGCCGGGGATGGGAATGCCGATGGGGCCGTAGACGTTATTGATGCAGTCCCCCTGAATGAGCGCCCCGCCGATTATGATTCTGGAGAAGAGGCCGAATTAGGTTCTGACATGGAGGTGCATGATCTGGGCATTCCTACGGATATGGAGCGCCACATCTGTCCGATCAGAAGCGCCCTCGACCATGATCAAGTCCTCTCCCGCGTGGCTCTTAACAAAATTCGCACCTTCTTTCCCCCGCCGTTCGTCTGGAGCGTGAAGGGCGCCGAGCACGTGATGAGGAGACGTCCGGGAATGATCATGCTCCACCTGGACTCTGTGGAAGCCGGGCTGCGGTTCCCACTTCATGCGTTTTATGTGGAGTTCTTCCACTGCTCCCAAGTGGCCCCGGCGCAGTTCATGCCGAATTCTTATAGGTTCATATCGGCCTTCTTGGTGCGCTGCAAACTTGCGGGGGTCGATGCCACCCTGGATCTGTTCCACTACTTTTTCCGGATCACTCCCCAGAACTCCGACGGGTATCTGAGCGTGGCCGCTCGTCCGGGGAGGAGGCTGTTTAAGAGCTACCCCTCCTCCATCCATGACTGGAAAAACCGGTTCTTCTTCCTTCGCTATGATGGTCCTCCCCTCCCAGTTCGTTGGAATGGCTATCCCCCGAAGATAGAGTCGCCGGAGTTGACCGATGATCTGAGCGAGGCCGTGGAAGGCATCCTGCAGGGCGGCATTCGCCCCATAGCCGGCTATCTGACCTTCGAGGCACTCTCGGGGGCAGGCATAGGTACCGCCCGTGTCCTTGGACTCTTTCCACCCTTCGACGCTCGTCTCGGGGCATCGGGCGGTCCTGTCCTTCGAGGTGAGTGTCCTATTACATTCTCCGTTCGTCTTCTAACCCTTTATTGTTCTCCTGCAGGTTCTCCGCCAAACAGAGCTCAGATGAATCACGCCGAGTGTCTGAAAACAAGGAAGGCCAAGGCGGCCGCTGCTAAAGCCGCACTGATGAAGGCCAAGAACGCCCCCGCATCGGATTCCAACTCCTCGGCCTCTGATGCTGCCCGACGAACTGCTGAGGGTGAGCAGCACTTGATTGCCACCGTGCTGGCTCAGGGTTCCGGGGCCCCTGCCCTTGAAGCTGCCCTTCCACCGCCGGTCGTCCCCACGAAGGCTGCTCCTCAGAAGGGGACAGAGACGGTCCCCGAGAAGAAACAGAAAAGGGGCCGTGAGGCAAGCTCCACTGGCCTTCTGCTCGAAGACGCCGGCGCCCTGCCCTTGAGCCGCCCGGCGGAGGAACTCTGGAGGGAAATGGCCCTCAAAGCTGGCCTCGAGCTGCCCCGCCGTTCGTCCTCTGAAGCGACTAGCGCTGCCCTGGCAGCCGCTCTTCAGGTAATTCCTCATTACTAGGTCCGAGTATATTTTTTCCTTGACGTTCATCTCCTGACCATTGCCTTTAATTTCCCTTCTGTCATCCAGTCTGGGCTTCTAGTCCTTCAGGCTGAAGCTGCCAGGGAGGCCGATCTGAAGGAGGCCAAGGCGAAAGCTGATGCCGCCTTGTCTCAAGCCCGGGAAGCCGTCCGTCGTGCTGAGGCGGAGGCTGCGGCCAAGGAGAGAGAGCTCGCAGCTCTGCGGGCTGAATCCCGCAGCCAGCTGGTCGGCCTGGAGAGAGCCGGCTTCAAGCTTGTTCCGGTGCTCCCCGTTGAGAAGGGCGCCGACCCAGAGTGGCTGGTTGACACCTCCGGCTTCAAGAACACCGGGGAGTTCATGGACTCTGCCAGAGACTACTGCGCCGGGGCCTTCGGCGACGTGTTTTCTGCGGCTTTGGAAAAGATACCGCCTCGCCAGCGTCTGGCCTGCGGCGTCCGGATCCTCGAGAGCTCTCCTCTGTCCCACAAGTTCCTCTATGAGGTCGGCGACAGCACCTTCGCCGCCGGCTATAACGAGGGGGTTAAGGCCACTCTCCCGATATTTGCCAAGCTGCAGGGGGCTGACTTTGATTTGGCCGCCAACACCGATGACGATCTGCTAATCCAAGCTTTGGGGAAGCTAAGGAGGGACCGGCGTCGGGAGGAGGCCAAGGCCAGGGGAGAGATTCCGGAGCCGCCAACCCCTGAGCCTGAAGTCGAGGAGGAAGAGCCGAACCGAGGCGGCAGTCGACCAGGGTCCCCTTTTCTTGTATAATACGCACTGCAATTTCCTTATTTGACCATGTAATGTCCAGCCGTTAGAGCTGAAGAATATACATGCTTTTTGTCCATAATTGACTCCACGTTCGTGATTTCTCATTCCTTTATTTTTCTTTCCTCCATCGTTGTTTATATGGAAACTCCTTCGGTGCCTCGATACATCTTCTCGCAAGGTTGAAGTCTGCGAGGACGTTCGTATCCGTTCCTTACTTGCTCAAGGCAACGGCGTTCCCCTGCCAAACCTCCGTACGTACTCCAGTGTGCGGAGGTACCGCTCCAGCCCGTCTTCGGGCGCCGATGCTGGGCTCTGATGCCGGCTTACCGTCCTCGAAGTGGCTTATGAAACGTATACTCAAGGTGTGGACGTATGAACGTGCTTCCCAGAGTCAACGTTCGGTAACGACGTTCGTCTGTCGTCATGTGACATGAATACTCAAGCTACGTATGGAAAGACGAACGTAGTCCGTTGATGCGTATGTCTCCCACTGGCCGCCGATATTAGGGACAGCCGATGGTCGTGATCCCCGGGTTTCCCGAGTTCCCCGCTGGACGTTCGTGGCTCCGATGCAGCCACCCTTGCCAAGATCACGCGGCGACGGAATCGAGGCACCTCAAATACCGTGGTAGGTACCGGTACCCAGGCGCCACGTGTCCCACTTCGGTTGGTGTGTTCCCGCGGTGCTGCCTATAAGTACCCAGAACCCATGTAATTCATTCATACTTCTCCTTACGCTGCACAATTGTCTTCTCTCTCTAGATCTCTCTCAAACCGTATCGGAAGTCCCGAACTCCCAAGGTACCGTTCGTTGCCATGTCTTCTGAAAATCGCTTCGACGATGGTTGTTCTTCCGGTGATGACTTGGAATATTATGAGCGGGGGATGCCGCCGTGGCCTCCCCGTTACAGTCTCAGCTTCTCGTACGTTCGGCGTCAAGTTCAACGCCTGACAAATGCTGACAAGCGTCTGGTCAGCCAATGGTTCTATCCTCCAAGGACATACGACGATCGGCGCCTGCGCAACCCCATGCGCCATCTGCCCGGCTATGTGGTGGTCCACTTGGATTCGGTGATAGCCGGGCTGAACTTTCCCTTACATAGCTTCCACTTGGAGCTTTTCAGGGCCCTTGAGATAGTGCCTGCGCAGTTCGTCCCTGCCGCCTATCGGATAATCGCTGGCTTCATCATTAGATGCCACAGCGTCGGTGTGACCCCCACCGTGGACCTGCTGCACCATTTCTTCCGGCTGTCCCCCTTCGGACGCACGGGGTATTTGACCCTGATCGCCCGTCCGTCCATGGTCCTATTCTCGAACAACGCTGGGAATCCGGATGGTTGGGAAGAGCGCTTCTTCTTGGTCGGAGTAGGCTCACCGATGCCATTCTCTGACCGGTGGAATGCTTACCCGGTGAAGACGATCCCGCCGCCCATGACGGACGAGGAGCTCGGATATGCCAAGCGCATAGCCGGACTTGGCATCCAGAACCTCCGGTTGCTGGTGGCCGAGCCTTTTAAAGCTCAGGCTGGGTTAGGTGCGTCCGTTTGTACTTGTATTGTTTTAACCTCTCTTCACTGTTATGGCTCTGAACGTCTTGGTTCCCTTTGTGCAGGAATTTTCCCATCCGCGCCTACCATGAGCCGAGTCCACACTGCTTCGACAGCCGTCGGCCGTGAGCACAAGGGGCATGACAAGCCCGGGAAGCCGCTCGTCCCCAAGGTCGAACCTCGGGTGACCAGGGCACGAGCTGATGACACTTCGGGGGCCGGCGCCTCCAAGAGGTCACGTGTTGAGGGTACCTCCTCCAAGGCCATCATCGTGGCCGATGACTCCGATGGGGAGCCCGGAAGCCCCCTCAAGCGGAAGCCCGCTTCTCGGTCCAATCTCCGTGCTTCTCCTCCGAGGAATTCTGACGTCCGCCGTCTCCGGGATGATGATGCCCCAACCGCCCAAGGTTCTGACGACGTTCGTCCAACTTCGCCTCCAGGAGCCGGTGGGTCTTCTCTTGGCCTGATTGAGTTTTCCGGGGTTGGCCCCCGCAAAGAGTCAATGATGCTCTTTGGCCAGACAGCGTCCTGAGGGTTGTATACGAACCGAATCGAGTCGAATAGTAAGATTTTGTATTTGTATTTGTTTAATTTTTTCGAATACGAATTCGAATTCAAATATGAAACGAATATTAATTTCGATTTGTATTTGTATTTGTTTAACAATACGAATAGTTAACGAATCTTATACGAATATCGAATAGATTTGAGCATAGGTTAAATATTAGTCAAATATCACTTAAAATTAAATTTTCTTATATTTTTTATGTTGTAAATGTACGCTATGATTTGATATGTGTTTTTAGAATTTAAATTCAATGGATCAATGCATTTTTAGATTGTGCATGATATACTAAAGTGAATCAATTTTATGATTAATAAATATAAATCTATTTCAAACTTTTTGAAATAAATACTAACATATACATATTAGAAATTACACTTATAATGTGTGAAATAAGTTGATAATTGTATATATCAAAGTCAGACGACCCTAATTTTATTCTGCGAATCGAATACATAATTATTTGTATTGTATTTGAAAGACATTTGAACCAAAACTCCGATTTGTATTCATATTTATACTCTGATTTATTACAAATGGACTTAGAATTTGTATGCGTAAATGTATATATGAACTACACTTTAGGGTATTGCTATCTTTTAAAAGTTATTATAGTGTTATTACTATTAATATTAATATTATCACTATTATTAATCGAATATATTTGATTAATATTCGAATCGAATACACTGATATTGTTATTTGTATTTGATAACAAATCGAATCAAATTTAATATTCATATTTGTATTTGTATTTGAAATTTCCGAATTCGAATCGTCTTATACGAATTCGAATCGCGAATCGAGCACAAATTATTTGATTCGTTTACAACCCTAGCGTCCTCCATCTGGTGTGGGCTAAATCTCAAGGTTCCGCAGGACTTCGCTGCCCAGGAGGCCCCTGAAGATCTTTTGGAGTGCGGCCAGAGCACCCTGGATAAGGTCGGGCTCTACTTTCACAGGGCTCGGATGGCCTTCGAGCATCAGGGCAGGGAGATGGCCAGGGTGCGGGCTGAATGCGACGCCCTTCTGAGGAATGCAAAAGGCAGGGCTGGCACTCTTCAAGAGAAAGCCGACGCCTATGATAAGCTCGTCCAGGAGAATGCCTCTCAGAAGGAGCTCCTCAAGAAGCAGGAGGCCGAGCTCGTGGATCTCCGCAGCCGGATGTGGGCCGTAGAGCAGGCCAAGGTGGAGCTCCGCCAGACGGGCGTGGACAACCACGTCCCTATCTATGAGGCCGATGTTGCCAAAATCAAGGAGTCTGGATCCATAGCGTTCCAAAGATCCAAGGCTTATACTGGCGCCATTCATACCATGGCCATGAAGTTCCTTCCGCGGCTCGTCGGCGAGTTTCTGGCCACCTGCCCGGATGCCTATCTGGATGGGGTTAAATTGCTCCAGGCCACCCCCACCGGACGTCGTTTTCTTGACGATCTCGCCGATGATACCTACCGCAAGGGTATGGTTGGTCTGGTAGCGGAGAATCTTCCGACGTTTGAGCGTCACTTCGGGGCTCCCTTCGACCCGGAGGCGGCTGGCTTTGACGTCCTGATGGCAGATGCCCATGCGGGGGCCCTTGAGTTGCTGAAGGAGCAGGAGGATGCCGAAGCTAGTGAAAAATCCAAGCAGACTCTTTCCAAGGCTCCAGCTCCGGACGCCGATCGGCAGTGATTCTCCGTTCATTACCTTGTACTTGTACAATTTTTTCCATTATTTGCATTGTACCTTCGCACATTGTAATTTTCCGGCCAATAGTGCCGAAGAATAAAAATCATTCTTTGCTCCATGCTCTTCTGGCATTATTTTTTTTTTTTTTTTTTTTTGGAGTTTTTTAGTCTTTGTTCGTCCTTGGTCCCTGGTCCTACCGGCGTCCCTACTTCGAGGAGACGTTCGGTGTCCGCCGACATCGCAAGGAGGAACAGGTTTATCTACATCGAGATTCCCCCTTTTTTCGTTCGTCCGTGGTCCTTTTAGTCTTACCGGCGTCTCTTGCTTCGAAGAGGACGTTCGGTACCCAAGGAACTCGCAGGGACGAACAGGTTTACCCTCACGGGTCCCCGACTTTGTTATCCCACGTCCATCGATCCATGGTCATTTGTGGGATAAACAGGTTTATCTTGGCAGGCTCCCTTGGTTCGTCTAGCCCCCTCCGCGTCTCTACTAACCTCTGCATCGAGAGGCGTTCGTCTTCGGCGGTGGGGGAAGATCTGGCACGCCCGGGCAAGATTCCCTTCGCACAGGAGCTACCCTCCTCTTCTCCCTATCTTTTTTTTTTTTTTTTTGAGGGAGGATTTTAGTCTTCGTTCGTCCTTGGTCCTTGGTCCTACCGGCGTCCCTACTTCGAGGGGACGCTCGGTATCCGCAGACATCGCAAGGAGGAACAGGTTTATCTACATCGAGATTCCCTGGTGCTTCGTTCGTCCTTGGTCCTTGGTCCTACCGGCGTCCCTACTTCGAGGAGACGTTCGATATCCGCAGACATCGCAAGGAGGAACAGGTTTATCTACGTCGAGATTCCCTGGTGCTTCGTTCGTCCTTGGTCCTTGGTCCTACCGGCGTCCCTACTTCGAGGAGACGTTCGATATCCGCAGACATCGCAAGGAGGAACAGGTTTATCTACATCGAGATTCCCTGGTGCTTCGTTCGTCCTTGGTCCTTGGTCCTACCGGCGTCCCTACTTCGAGGAGACGTTCGATATCCGCAGACATCGCAAGGAGGAACAGGTTTATCTACGTCGAGATTCCCTGGTGCTTCGTTCGTCCTTGGTCCTTGGTCCTACCGGCGTCCCTACTTCGAGGAGACGTTCGATATCCGCAGACATCGCAAGGAGGAACAGATTTATCTACGTCGAGATTCCCTGGTGCTTCGTTCGTCCTTGGTCCTTGGTCCTACCGGCGTCCCTACTTCGAGGAGACGTTCGATATCCGCAGACATCGCAAGGAGGAACAGGTTTATCTACATCGAGATTCCCTGGTGCTTCGTTCGTCCTTGGTCCTTGGTCCTACCGGCGTCCCTACTCCGAGGAGACGTTCGGTATCCGTAGACATCGCAAGGAGGAACAGGTTTATCTACGTCGAGATTCCCTTCTTTAACGGTTGTTGGCAAGAACAGAAGTGATGAAAAACAGGGGGCCTTATTATTGACGACGTCCGGTCATTTTACATGTAGTGGGAATAATACAAGGACAACAGCCCCTAATTATTGATAGAACTTCTTCAGGTGTTCTACGTTCCACATCCCGGCATGGTTCCCCTCCAGGGTATGGAGGAGGAACGTCCCCTGGTTGTATCTTCTGATGACCTGGTAAGGTCCTTCCCAGTTCTTCGCCATTTTGCCACCTTCGAGCGGCTTGCTCTTCTCTCTTTTTCTGAGTACGAGGTCCCCGGCCTCTATTTCGCGGAATTTCACGGCCTTGTTGAAGTATCTCTGGGTGGCCCTGTGGTACTCTTCCATGCGACGGGCCGCTAGGTCCCTCCGTTCCTCAATGAAATGGAGCTCCGCTCGTAGGTTGACCTCGTTGTCCTCCGGCTGGTAATGCTTGGTGCGATGTGTAGTTACCAATACCTCCGTCGGCACCTTAGCTTGGAACCCATAAGCCAAAGCGAAAGGGGTTTCCCCCGTCGCCGTTCTTGGCGTTGTCCTGTACGTCCACAAAACATAATTCAGCTGCTCCGGCCAGGTGGAGGTGTAGTCTTCCAACTTTTTCTTGATCCCATCCATGATGGTCCGGTTCATGTTCTCCACTTGGCCGTTGGCCTGCGGGTAGGCCACCGAGGCCTTAGAGTGCCTGATGCCCCACTTTGCCAAGTATGCCTCAAATCCTCTGCCGACGAACTGCCGGCCGTTGTCGGTGACGACCTGCTCCGGGATCCCGAAGCGGCATATGACGTTTTGCCAGACGAACTTCTGGCACTGGAATTCAGTGATGGAGGCGAGTGGTTCGGCCTCCACCCACTTTGTGAAATAATCAATCGCCACAATGACGAATTTCCTTCCTCCGGCGGCCGTCGGCAGGGGGCCCAGCAAATCTATGCCCCACCTAGCAAAGGGTAGTGCGATGGTCATCGGGGTGTAGAAGCTCGCCGGACGTCCAGGGATAGGCGCATATTGTTGGCACACCGCGCACTTCCGAGTGTGGTTGAAGCAATCTTGCTGTATGGTTGGCCAATAATAGCCCTGCAGGATGATTTTTCTGGCCAAGGTTCAGGGCCCTTGGTGGCTGGAACAGATCCCTTCATGTATCTCTTCAATCACTGCTGCTGCTAGGCTCGGCGGGAGGCACCTGAGGTAAGGTCCGCCGAACGTCTTCTTATAGAGTTGCCCATCAATGAGTTCAAAGTTAGGGGCACGCCTCTTTACCCATGCAGCTCTTTTTGTGCTGCCATCTTCATCGGGCTCCGGGAGTGTTCCATCTCTGAGGTAATCCGCTATTTCCTTCGCCCAGGTAGGTTCGGAGATGGAGATAACCTCCACTTGGATGACGTCCGTCGCCGGTACTGGGAACACTTCCAGCCTGACGAAGCCTCTGATGTGGTGGGGGATGCTTGACGCCGGATCATCGGTTGGGGGGTTGCTCAGCTTTTATAGTATATCCGCCTCTGCATTCTCCACCCGCGATACCTGCTCAAGGATCACCTGTTCAAATTGCGCGGTCTGCTCCTCCGCCAGCTCCTTGTAGACCTTCATCCTCTCTTCCCTGGTTTCTGCAGTGCCGTTCATCTGGGTTACCACCAGCTGGCTGTCCATCCTCACCTTCAGACGAGCTGCTCCGAGGGCTTTCGCGCATTTCAGCCCCGCGATAAGCGCCTCGTACTCAGCCTCGTTGTTGGTGACCTTGAACTCAAATTTCATAGAGTAGTAGGCTTTGAAACCCTCGGGGGAAGTGATCACTGCGCCTCCGCCGCAGCCCCGCGCACTCGAGGCCCCATCGGTGTACATCTCCCACCAATTGTCAAAGGCGTCGCTGTCATGGGATTCACCCTCGGTGCGCGCGGTGCATTCCGCAATGAAGTCCGCCAGTGCCTGTCCTTTGATCGTTGGCCTTGGCTTGAAGTCCACGTCATACTGGCCGATCATCAAGGACCACTTGGTTATCCTCCCGCTTGCCATCGGGTTCCTGAGGACTGTGGCGAGGGGCTGCGTCGTGTAGACGGTCACCGGGTGTGCTTGGAAATACGGCGCCAGGCGCTTGATGGATGCAATCAAGGCGAGGATCGTCTTCTCCATCAGTGTGTATCTCGTCTCGGGGCCGTTCAGCGCTTTACTCACAAAGTATATTGGCCGCTGAACGCCTTCAGACTCCTTCAGCAGCACGGCACTTATGGCCAGATCGGCCACTGCCAAATATATGTACAATCTCTCCCCGGGATCCGCTTTCGTGAGGATGAGCGGAGAGGAGAGATATACCTTGAAATCCTCGAAAGCAGCCTGACACTCCGGGGTCCATTCAAAGGGATTGGCCTTCTTCATGATCTGGAAAAAGGGGATCGCCTTATCAGCCAGCTTGGATAAGAATCTGCTCAGGGCCGCCAGACGCCCGGTGAGCCGCTGCACGTCTTTTAGGTTCTTTGGGGCCTCCATGTCCATAATTGCCTTCACCTTCTCCGGATTAGGCTCGATCCCCCGCTCGCTCATCATGTAGCCGAGGAACTTGCCGCCCCTGACGGCGAAGGCACACTTCTTCGGATTGAGCCTCATGCTGGCCCTCTCCATGATGCTGAAGACCCTCTCCATGTCCTGGACATGGTCCTCCTTTTTCTTGCTTTTGATCAGGATGTCATCCACGTAAGCTTCCATTGTCTTCCCAAGTACGTCTTTGAACAACATCCCAATCATCCTCTGAAAAGTAGCCATGGCATTCCGCAGGCCGAACGGCATGACGATGTAGCAGTACACGCCGTCCGCCGTAACGAACGCCGTTTTTTCAGCATCATCGGGGTGCATGAACACCTGATGGTAGCCCCTGAATGCGTCCATGAAGCTGAGCAGTTCGCAGCCTGCCGTCTCATCCACCAGCAAGTCGATCCTCGGAACAGGGTAAGGATCCATCGGACAAGCTTTGTTGAGGTCCGAGTAATCGACGCACATCCGCCAAATGTCGCCCTTCGGGGCTAGTACCACGTTGGCCAACCACTCCACGTGGATGACCGGCCGGATGTGTTTAATGCTGAGGAGAGTTGCTGTCTCCTTCCTGATGAAATCGCGTCGGTCGACCGCCATATATCTTTTCTTTTGTTGTACGGGCTTGGCGTCCGACCGCACGGCGAGTCTATGGCATATGAGGTTGGGGTCGATGCCCGGCATGTCCCCGGTCCTCTGGCGAACAAGGTCTTGAACTTGCGGAGGACGGCTATGACCCCCTCCCTGATTTCCGGCTCTAGATCCGCACCGATGGACACCCTCCTGTCCGTTGGATCGTCGAGCTCGATCTCTTCCAGCAGAGTTGCCGGTTCCAGATGAGCGTCCAAGTCGGTTTGTTTGGCCTTCTCGGAGATGCTGTTGACCCGAGCCTCCCGCTCGTTGAGCTTCTCCATGGCCTTCGTGTAGCAGGCTCTGGCCATATGCGGGTCCGTACGTGCCACTCCCACCCCAATGTCGGTGGGGAATTTGATGCATGAGTGCCGTACGGAGCATATGGCCCCCAAGTCTTCCAGGCCGGGTCGGCCCAAAATGGCGTTGTGGGCGCACTTCAGGCGGACCACGACGAACGTCATCCCGATCCGGGTGGTGTGAGGGCCGTCGCCGATCTCTACTGGCAAGTTGATGGTGCCCTCAGCGTCAATGCAATCCCCGGTGAAGCCGGACAGCGGGGTGCGCAGAGGGTGCAGCATGTCCTTCCTGAGCTTCATTCCCTCGAAGGCCTCCCAGTAGAGGACGTTCACACTGCTCCCGGTATCAACAAGGACGCGGCGGACGATGGCATCGTTCACGTCCATGCTGATCACCAGCTCGTCTCTGTGCGGCGCTGGTGACATCGGCAGATCGGCGGGACCGAAGGTGATTGCCCCGATCTTGTTGCGCTTGGTGGGGGGTGCTGATACGGAACCCACATAGAGTGATCTCTCGAATTTTTTCCGCTCGGCGGGCGTGTCTCCTGTCTCAGCGCCCCCGAAGATCACCTTGATCTCCAGCTTCTTCTTTTTGCCCTTCGGGCCAAGGGATCCCTCCGGACGTTTATCCGCACTTCGATAATCCACAGCCTGGGGCTCTGCCTCGCGCCGATCGTCGCGGCGCCATGTTCGGGGCCTTGGGTTCGGCCTCTGCTGGCTGTTTTTGTTCAGCAGCTGGGTGAACTCGCCCAAGTACCCCTGACGGATCAGCTCGTCGATTGCTTTCTTTAGTTGGCTGCAATCGTCCGTCAGGTGGCCGACCCTCTGATGGTATTCACAGTAGGCCGATTGATCAAGCCCCATATGCTTCTTCATATCCTGGGGTTCCGTCAGGAGGCCCTTGTCCTTGATGGCCTCAAAGATTTGGCTCACTGGATAGACCAATGGGACATAGCGGTCGTCCGGCCGTGCCTGAATATTCCCGGACGGAGCCTTCCAGGGGACCATCGCCCCGTCCGTCTTCTTCTTTTTGTTTGGGGGGGAGGGCCCGGGCCCCGGTCTGGGTCCGAGCCTGTCCGCCATCTTCTGTGGGTGGGCCGCGGGAACTCCGTCCCGCTGCCTGATCTCTTCCTCAATGGAGGCATACTTCTGGGCCCGAGCCAGAACCTCGGTGTAGCTGGTGCCGGGATTCCTCCTTAGGTCCCGGTATAGATCCCCTGTGGTCAGCGCACTGGTGAACATGTTGGTGGCCAGACGTTCGTCCAGATCGTCGACCTGCAGGACCTCGTCCCTCCACCTTACCAGGAACCTAGCCAGCGGTTCGTCCCGCCCCTGTTTGATGTGGGCGAGAGCCGTGACGTCCTTCCTGGGGGTGGTACTGGCAGCAAACTGAGCCATGAACTGCCGGGAGAGCTGTTCATATGAGTCGATGGTGCCCGGCCTCAGCTGGCCGAACCATTCTTGCGCCGGCCCTCTGAGGGTGCTGAAGAACAATCTGCAGATGGCCTCGTCCGATGCTCCCAGCATGGACAGGTTCCCTTGGTAGCTAATCAGATGGGCCTTGGGATCACCAGCCCCATTGTACACCAAATTGCCCGGGGGCCTGCAGTCCCGGGGAATCTCGACGCTCATCACCCGTAGGGTAAAGGGTGATGTGAGGGAGAAAGAGGGTGTGGCCGAGCCAACGTCCGATCGTCTGTTCATCTCGGCTATCTGCCGCTCCATTGCTTCCAGCCTTGCATCCTGTGCGGCCCTTCCGGGGGACACAGGGGGCGCGGCCTCAGGGACGGCATTCTGCTGAGCGGCCGCAGCATCGTGCGGCCGCCTGAAGATCTGCGTACCTCGCCGTTGGAAACGTCGTCCAACGGCGTTGATCCTTGGGGTTTCGTCTCCCCGCGGGACTTGGCGGGGAACCGATGGCGTGTGAGCCCTGGATGCAGCGATGCTGACCCTGGTTCGCCCTCCCGTTCCACGGGAGCCTGAACCTCCGCCTAGCCGCTCATGGACTGAGGGCCGGTGGTCGCTGGATCCCGTCGTATCGTCATACGACTGCATGCGGCGGATGGGAGAGAGGGGCGTTCGCTGGGTGCTTGCTGAGTACATCTGCTCTCGGGCCTCCCGTTCGTCTGCCAAACGACGCATGGTGTCCGCGAGTTCCCGCATGAGGCGGGGATCCTGCCTGGCCTCAAGGGGAATGAGGTCAGTGATGCCCCCGTTTCCCCCGGAGGTCCATATCGTCGCGGACAGTTCCGAGTTCTGGCCGCGATTCCGGCGGCTTGATTCCAGACGCTCGG